TCATGTTGTTATGTTATGTTATCCTTGTTGGATTTTTGAAGGCAAATGGCAGCTACTCCATATAAAATCTAACTGTTAACCTCAATCCTAGTTCATTTTATTGGTTGTTTAATACCAAGGAGGACGAAGTCGTTTATTTTCACGGTTATCCTGGCTCAAAGCAACAAACTTTGATTTGTAATTCATGAATTTTATTAACAAGATCTTGGCGAAGTTAAATTGAGTTCCTTCATAACTTATTACTAGATGTCCGGTGCGGGATCTTTTGCATTTGTGACGCTTGCTTGAGTCCGGCTGCTGGTTTTAGGGTACCGTGATGAGGAGATGTTAGGTATCCATGTGAATGTCAAATATTTTCTTCAAATAAATGCATAGAGCAATGCGTAGCAACCAACCTTTTTTATGGAATAGGAGGCAAACGTGCAAATGTATCACCTGATGGTAAGCGATCAGCCCGCCCATGGACACCCGTAACACCAGTTTACCCACAGGTGCATTCCTAGACTTTTCAATAGTAATTCGCTCTTTTCTTGAAGGTTTAAACGTCGTATCGGTTCGGAAATACCGCCGACGACAGATCATTCCACAGTATTGCTGCGTTAGGCCGAAAGCTACGAGAGAAACGCACGAATTTATACAATGGGAATAATACCATACTCCGTGCTACTACTGAGAAATCTAATAATATTTTGTCCAACCCAGGAAAACCCTAACTTGTTGCTTGACAATGGCATTTGGCAAAGGCATTTTTTTTTTAAGGGCGAAAATCATCGAATGACTGCTCCCGCCCGGGTGAGGCGGGAGGGAGTGTCAGACTCTTACTGACTAAAAACCACCCCGTTCCTTCTCCTGCACGTCGAGCCGGAGCCCCGGTTACCCGTACTGTCTAAGGCTATCCCTACGACCTATCATAACATTTGCAAAAACATAAGGAACTTGGAATAACTCATTAAATCAGATTTTAAGGATGCATTTCTTAAAATAAGACTGCCTCATTAACCAAGTAGTCTCAAGTGCGACTGCCGGTCAAGGGGTGTCGGACTGTCGGGTTCGGTTCAACATCGGACAAAGTAGCAAAGTACTACTGGGTTTTTTAAAAATTCTCAATAGTAGCACGGAGTTTGGAAATGTGCCCGGTATATGGCAATAGGTCCCCCATTACATGAGAGTCATAACATGAATAGTGAAAAGTATGTGTTACATTGTGTAGTGATATGAAGTGCCGTATGTGCACCTCTGTCTACCCCTTCGGAACTAAAAGGCATGATGTTATGTTTGTGATGTCCTAAAATAAATAGCTTATTTTATGTTCCTAGTTCGAAACCCTTTAACGTGTAACCTACTCGCTCATAACCTATTTTTTTAACAGCATTCATACTGAAGTAAAAAGATATGCGGAGAATTTCCAACTGCAACTAATTAAGAATTTTACTTCGCTATTCTTAAAAATATGTTCAGTGTTCACTGTTCAGATTCAGAGTCATATTTGACAAGGTTAGTTTATTCATTTTATCATTTTGATCCAATATTCAGTACGTTATTATTTTTTATCATTTCTTTAAATCAAACACAAAATTAAATTAATTAAATCTGATTCGAGGGACTGCCTCGTTGGCCGAGTGGTCGCAAGTGCGAATGCTGGGCAAGGGGTCTCGGGTTCGATTCCCGGGTCGGGCAAAGTATTATAGACACTAGAGAACTGCCTTACAGCCTGTAATTTTTTTTAATACTTCAATATTGGTTATGACGTTCAAAAGTGTCATACTGGTCTAATTGAAATAAACGATTTTGACTTTGACTTGTCAGACTGCAGTATTTCGTACACTCAAGAGTGTCAGTGTTCAAGAATAGCAGCTGTAGCCAAAAGCCACTTAGCGCTTGTCTACATGTAGAATAGAAAACCAAATTATATGGGATTGATGTAAATTTTGACACTTGTCAGTGTCATCTCCATACATTTAGTTTTCTACTCTCTCTGTAGACAAGCGCTAAAGTGGCGTTTGGCTAAAGGCACAGGACAGTTGCCGCCTAGATTTGGTCGATCCAACTCATCGGGAACTTAACTCATTTACCAATGAAGGTACTCCTTCCACCATATCGCATCCACCGTAATAAAAGTACTAGTAGGTATATGGAACTCTGTTTCTGCCTACGTCTTATACAAAGGCTTCAATTCAAGCATGAAAATAAATATTTATATGTTTTAAATATCCCTGCACTGAAAAGATATTACATGTGGCCTACTTTCAGATTTAAATTGAAAATTAATCTTATTCAGTATTGCCAACCGCATTTGCAATCAACCGTTCAGTGACGCAGGAATATCGACCATAATTATACCTCTTTATGTAGTATTTTGGTGAGAGAGTTTTAAGCAATGAATATTATATTTTTGTGTTTTTTTTGTGAATAATTTTAAAAATATAAGCTGTATTTAATATCACCAATTCGCCTTGATGAAGCTTGGTGATTATTGTGCTTATTATTTTCACCGTATAAAACTTAAGTCTTTGTTCAGTAATAGGCACTAACACTATCTAAAAGTTTTTTTTTATGTAAGGATAAGCCAGTAATCGAGCAGACGGATCACCTGATGGTAAGCAATCGGTGTCGCCAATGGACACCTGAAACATCAGAGGCATTACAAGTGCGCTACCGGCTTTTGGATTGAATTGAATGAATTTGAGGAATGTTGATGATTCAGGTACGGGGGACATTGGGGGGGGGGGGGGGGGATGATTGATCCTCCTGTCACCTCACTCACACGACGAAACACAACGTAAACGTTGTTTCACGTTTATACTAAACTTGTCCAAGATCGTATATTTTTTTTAATATTTGATCGGTTTGTGTTTACCAATTATCTCGCCTGGTGGGAAGCGATGAGCTGGTCGACGATGAAGCACACCTACCTATGAACAACTTGTTCACTCGATACTTTAAGATACGCATATTACATTTTTCTGTAAATCCACAGACTATGCCAAAGAATCCCAATTCCATTAATTACGAACAAAACAATGACTAGAGTTTTGCCCAGGTATCTTCTGTCTGTTGTTCTATCTTTTTTCTTTGAGGCACAATAACGAATACTGTTATTTATTGTCATGCTGAACATAATCGTGGACAGAACGTAGATTCTATAAAGTATTATAGCTCGTGGAAGCTTGAAGTGGTATACGTTCGTGTAATTTATAAAAGAGATTAGTATCGCAACAAACTTACTTACTTGTTTAAGTAGTATAGTGTACGTGTGTGGAGTATCGAACTATGAAATGTCTTTTGTGGTAAGGCATCTTTAAGAATCTTGGTAAAACAATAACAATTGATGTATCTATTAAATACTTAAACTTATCCCACCAAAAACATTCTGTAAAAATCTAGCCAAGCCTCGATGGAGCTACTAGTTTATCTTTAAAAAGTAATGAAATATAATGAAGTCGTGCCAAGTTTAAGGTTCCTTATTGCGATTTCGTTGTTATTATAGTTAATGTTGTGTGACTGCCGGGGAAAGGGTCTCGGGTTCGATTCCCGTATCGGGCAAAGTATTACTAGGTTTTTTAAACATTCTCACTAGTAGCACGGAGTCTGGAATTGTGCCCGGTATAGTGCAATAAGCTCACCACCTATTTGAGAAGGCATGTTTTTAGAGAAAAGGGGTAGTAGGATGATAAGATAGCATATAAACAAAATAGTAGCAAGAGAGTATAAATTTAAATACAAACATTAATGCTAATCAAAAACTGACGACAAAATCCAACTTACACCGACATGCCGATTCAAATAACAGCCATCTATAATATTATGAATAATTCCAGAAAGCGCGGGATTACGAAAGCAAATCTCCAGTCGAATCGGAATCCAAACGTTATCAAGAGGTATTAAAGCAATGCTTTAGATTATCTCGCCAATCGACTGTCGGGATCTTTTCGTACAATGATGTTGAAAATATTGATGTGGTAGTTTTGTAAACACCTTTTTATTTCTTTTTAATGTGACTTAAAAATATTAAGTTGTTTAGAAGAAAGTCCGAGTAAATTTATCGTTTAATTACAAGAGAAAAATTACAATATTCAAAATATTAAATAAAATAATTATTTATACTTAAAAATAACTTCATAATAAAAAAAAAATAACAAATAGCGAAAAAATTTCGTCATTAATAAATAATATCACACACCACGCATTCAAAAGTGATGCATTTAATATCTCAATAAAATCTCTAAATCTAGTTTCGCTTAGTTTTAATTGAACACCGATAAGGTTGGCAGAATTTGCATACAGACGCAATAAACATCAACAATCGAATAACTGTTAAATTTAAACAGTCATTTATTCAATCGACCACATCACCCTTAACAATCGGCAACTTCACTTCAACATCATCAGAATGCCTAAATTTATCAAACGAACCATAATTATAATAATCTTCAATTTCTTGCAAAGTCCTATTCTTCGTTTCTGGTACATAAATCCAAATGATTATAGTACAAAACAAACACGAACTAGCAAACAAAAAGAAGGTCACTGTTAAGCCTAAACTACCAACAACATATAAAAATGGCTTCACTGTTACTACGTATAATAAACAGGTTAATACATTAAACAATGCTCCACCCATACCTCTATGCTTAACCGGCATCAAATCTATCGGCAAAGCAAAAGTTATAGGGTTAAAACCAGAATTACTAAACACCATATAACCTAAAAAAGGATATAGAAACAAATACGAATCAGCGCTAACAATCCCACTGCTTTGCAAATATGACACTAAAGAACAGATAAATAAGCTCAAAATACATCCCACGCAACAAGATAACACAGTTTTAGTCTTAAAATATCTTATCAGTATTAAAGAAATCAATGATCCAATGAATAACGTTGACACCATTGCTAAGTAACCGAACGTAGCTATTTCTGGAGCTCCCGTAGCCATTTCTAAGATATCTTTGCTATAAATAAACAAAGGTAATGCGCCGCTTATATAAAAGTTCAGTAATATTACAAACATGTAAAGGCTTGGTAGATAAAAATCTCGTCTCCTCATTTCTGACCACGTTTCTTGTAATTTGGTCTTCTTGGAAACCTTTATCCTTGATTCTTTTTGAGCTGCTAACATTGCTTTCAATTCTTTGTTTGCGTCATCATCGCTTCCTCTTAGCCAGACAAAGGCTTTCTCACTATCTTCATATTTTCCTTTACACGCTAGCCAGGAAGGTGACTCGGGCCATAGAGAAGACAATAATAAAGCAACTATAGCTGGCCCACACATAATCAAAGCAACAATTTGCCAATTGAAAATAGACCCTAATGCAGCAACGATGAACTGGCCGATAGTTTGATTGATGTTTAATAGAACCATTGACGCTGACCTGTATCTAGGGGCCAACATTTCACTGATGGTCACAAGGTTCACAATTGTAATGCAGTTGCTTGATAGGCCATGGAATATTGCTGATAGAAGGACGGTAAAAGTATCTTGAGCTACGAACGCTAGCAACCAGCCCATTAGAAGAAGTAGAGTGCTTCCAATGAATGTGCATTTTCTTCCCTTCCATTGCATTAAGGTTGGCATTAGAGTAGCTCCGATCCCGGCAACTCCATGCATTGACGCTGGGAAAGGAAGATTTTGCGCATATGAATTAGAGTTTTATTAGGGTTTTAGTTAAGGGTTACCGAACTTACCGATCCAAGTAAGAGTATCCAAATCAGTCTTTATACTGGTGTCATTAGATTGGAATTGCTGTATCAAGACACATGGATATCCTAGCGAGCCGCCCATGGACACCGCTGCTAACTGTGGTGCTGTCGCCACGAACATCTGTTGAAACCATAATATCTTTCTTTAGGAAGTGGTATCAAACTAAGAAACTCTCATTATGTCAATGACAAAGGTTATAGAAAAATCACAAATCAGGAGCTTAAGGTAAATCTACTAATACATTATGAAGTAGTAGCTTCATATTAGTACCCTGGTAAACTTTTCCTTATTATATTAAACTTTGCCCTTTTTTAGGTTTTTGAGGTTGCCAGCTACGTATAAACTAACATCCACCTGTTCATCCACCCAAAAAGTAAACGTCATAAATATAGGATCTTTTTTTGAGGGTGGAAAATCATCCAATGACTTCTCCCGGTTTGGATTAGGCTAGAGGGAGTGTCAGACTCTTACTGACTATAAACCACCTCCTTCCTACTCCTGCTCTTCGAGCCGGAGCCCCGGCAACTCAAATATAAATATGCAACTTCTTAGTACATAAGTTACCTGCCAATAAAAATCTTGCAAAATCTGTCCAGCTATTCCAGAGATTAGCCAGTACTAACAGACAAACATACAGACAATAGATTGTATAAAAATGTACTCCCTTAATTATTTGACGAACGACTCGACTATGGGACAAGCCCGCCACAACCTCCCAAAACCGCTACAGTAGATACAACCATGAAAACGTCCCAGGGACATGAGTAACTGTCTTGGTTCCCGCAACGAAGTGAATCAGAAGATATTATAAGAGGAAAAGAAAAAAAAAAGAAAAGAAACTAGTCGAGTCCTTCGTCAAATAAAATTATTAGCCATGCAAGGGGCTCATATTCTTATAACTATTCGAGTTCCCCGGTATATGGCAATAAGCTCACCCCCTATTGACACATGGGACTTATAACATAAATAGTGAAAAGTGGGTGTTACATTGTACAGTGGCATTAAGTGCCGAAATGTGCACCTCTGCCTACCCTTTCGGAAATAGAATGATGTTATGTTATTTTGATCTAAAAAGGTTAAAATTTTTCATTTGAACGCTGTGCATAGGTGACCATTTTTAATTTTGGCTACATACATATATGTACCCACACCTTCGCGACACAGAATATGTTATATTCCCTACATTACGCAATATATCTTTACATTTCCTCATTTAGCTTAGACACGAGCAAACATAATAAACGGGAGACTTATCGGCTTGTAAGCAACAATAACATTTGTTCACAGCAAACATCTCCCGTCAACATACAATATGTCGACACATAGCAATTATCTGGTAATCAAGTCGTATTGTTGCTGTAATTAATTCAGTTTTCCTCTAGATCTAATATTTACACAAACAACGACAGCTATGTTAATACTATCCACTACTAGATTAGACCCGAGCGTACAGCGCGTCGCGATCCGCGCGCACGTCAAAGAGCCATTAGACCACCACAGATGGGGCCCAATAGGGCCGATGCCGATTCGGAGTCGCGGAGAACCTAACGGGTAACCGGGGCTCCGTCTCGACGTGCAGGAGAAGGAACGGGGTGGTTTTTAGTCAGTAAGAGTCTGACACTCCCTCCCGCCTCACCCAGGCGGGAGCAGTCATTCGATGATTTTCCCCCCTTAAAAATAAAAAACACTACTAGATTAAAGAATTCAAGAGGTTTTATCATAATTATTACGGAGGCCCAATTATAAGCCCAGGTTTCCTCACGGTGTTTTCCTTCACCTTCCTTCAATCTTAGAAAGTACAAGTCAGTGGTGTCTAAATAATCTAAGAAAGTACATATAGTTCAGAAAAAGTCACATTGGTACTTGCCCTTGGTAGGTTTCGAACCTGTGAGGGTACACGTTACCAGGTACCTACATGATGCATGAGAAGCAGGCGTCTTCGATCTCCGGGCCACCACGACATACTTGCATTTGTTATTCTTATTTTGTTACTTATGTGTATTTAAAATGTTATGTTTATGATGTGGCAGTACTACTTCGAATAAATAAATAAATAGACCGACCTTCGAATCCAGAATTAGAAATAAAAATAATAATTAAAAGCTCACTTACCTGCTTAACAAAAGGTGAGAAGTTCATCCTGTTCTATGTTTTCTTTATTTTGAAACACTAAAACGAGCACTATTAGATATGTTCATAGTTTTTCGATGATTACTTTGTTTTAACTAGCCTGTCCCCTAGAATATTGTGGCCGGTACTGAGATTTAAGCCAATTAAATTGAATCAGTACTATATATGGAGTCACGTTTGAGAACTACCATTTAATTCACATAATTAAAAAAATCTTTTCATTCATTTTTTAATCTTGATCTTACTTTTTTGCTTTTAAAAGTATTACCTACCTGAATAATATTTTCAATAATAAATACATTTGGTAGGGTATTATTTAAGGTTTATTTTTACAAGAATATCCCACGAATGACGTGCAATGAATGAACGTCTGCAGTTCGTGATTATTGTTTTAAATAAAAGGTGAATTAATTTATTTATATTATCGTGAAATCTTTTCTATTATTATCCATGCGTATATTTATAGTTTATTGTTTGTACAGAAAGACGTACAAGGTTAATAATTGAATACAATACAATAATATCTAACTAGATAATCGGAACTGATAATTATCTTTGATTTATTTCGTTTCATCTTCCGACTCAGCTTGACGCTCATGGATATATTGTAGCTTGGGAAAATAGGCGAACAAAGTCACATGCAAATGTTAGTTTATGTATATGAAGACCTGAAGACCAAGGACAGAAAGGCCATGTCCAGTAGGAGATGGAAACAGTTTAATAATGTTGATGATCCTACACATTTTGTGGGCTTCATCGTTTTAGTACTCTTTTGGTCTTAATGCTTCGAGCCGCGGAAGCTGCCGAGTCAACAACTCCTGAGCTCCGTGGAGAAGTGAGCCACATGTCGAATGGTTTGTTGCGTGTGGTGTGTGTGTGTTTTATGTCACATTTCTGCTGCATGAACGTTTATCTACGTGCGGGTGCATACTGCACGCTACAAATTCATTCCTTTAGCCGAATAAAAACTGTCGCGGAGAACCTAACGGGTAACCGGGGCTCCAACTCGACGTGCAGGAGAAGGAACGGGGTGGTTTTTAGTCAGTAAGAGTCTGACACTCCCACCCGCCTCTCCCAGGCGGGAGCAGTCATTCGAAGATTTACCCCCCTTAAAAAAAAGCCGAATAAAAACTAAATATTTTCCCAGTTGTTAGTGAGTCAATGTCTCAACACATCTTAAAAGATAGAAAAAAAAAACTGCTTATTACGCCGCAACGCACACGAAGCCAACAATATAAGTATACACAATAAAAAGTCCATGGTGCGTCGCAGCGCAAAAGGCCAGAGCTCAGGTTGATGTAAGACTTATTGCTGCCCTTGCCCGGCAGTCGCACTTGCCACCACTCAGGCAACGAGGCAGTCCTGAGTAAACATGGTAAATATAGAATATAAATTCGTTTATCTTCTCCTCTTTTATCAATATCTTTTAATTGTTTTCGTTGCGGGATCGGAGACGGTTATTTATGTCCCTGAGACGCGCCGGACTTCAGTCTTCCGGTGTTTCCATGGTTGTATCCACTGTAGATCCTGGCTTACAGGAATTGCAGCCGTTTTGAAGGTTGTAGTGACCCAAAAAAAACTCATGGTTGACTGTTAGAGAATGCCACCCGGCATTAAGTCCGCCATCGTAAGTTATAATATACAGAAGTGTTAATAAATAAATAAATAAATAAAAAAAACACATGTTCCATAAAAAAATAACTGGTGATGAAAGAAGACCATTAAATTAATATAAAAAAATATACAGAAGATTAATGTTCCAACAAGTCACGTTTTGATTTTATTAATTTCATTAGTAAATAGATAAATAGACGATAAAATAATTAAAAAAAACGTAATCATAAAATATGTTGTAGACAAAAGATTTATGATAATTCATTATGTTGGTTTTTTTTGTTAGACAACTTGAATATTACATTACATTTCTGTGCCTTTGACCAAGACGAATATTCTATGTAAATTCTAAAAGGCGTATGATTTACTATTATTGTTTTGAATACAAAAACTGCATACGACGAGACAGGTCCAACTCCAATAACGGCTTTGAGAATATAATATTATTTTGGTTCTCAGAGTAGATCACACGCTGTTCATTAACCACTTAGAATTTACATTTTTAATTACATTTTTACGCGTGTAAAAACCTGATTCATTTTAATTGGGACATGTATTAGATTATGTATTTTTTTTTATGGTGTAAGCCGGTAAATGAGCAGACAAATTACCTGATGGAAAGCAATCAGCGTCGCCCATTGACACCTGGAACACCAGAGGCGTTACAAGTGCGTTACCGGCCTTGTGGGATTAGGAATTTAAGGATTGTTGGGGATCAATCAATCCTTGTCACTACATCATCTTTCAATCCACATTATTCTCTAATAACACTATGTTTCACTCGATCACTAAATATTACTCCACACATACTTCTCAGGGCTCTCAAATACCGCTGTCAAAGGGGACTGGTCAGCTCCAGACTGTATTAAATTTGTTGTCCTCAAGGTTATTTTCTTTTTCCGTCTCCTTGACCTTTAGTATTACATTGTTCTCACATTATTGAACTCAACGAAAGAATGTAACCAAAAATTGTATTGTGAACATGATTGAAAAAGAGTAACCTATAGAGTTTCTTGCTCGTTCTTCTCCATAGGAGTCTACACTTTGGAACAAGCGAATAGCTTCACTAGAGGACTGACCTACAGACTGACATTTTTTTTGTTATTATTTAATATTTAAATATTGTGTTGTGACGTTCAAAAGTGCCTTCCTGGTCTAATTGAAATACATGATTTTGACTTTGACTTTGACTTTGACTCTCATTTTCACCGCATTAATCCTGCTTTCATGCTTCTTCTGCCACACCCATGATTCACTACCATACATAAGCGTTGGTGTCAATACAGCAAGTCGACTCTCTATAACAATGCATATTAAATTTATAATGTCGATATTATTATTATGATTTTGACTTACAATATCATTGACACAGGTGGTAATTATTGTAAGCGTGTAATTAATATTTGTATGATTACAAGCATAAGCACTGTAAACGGAGAATTTTTATGTATTTACAAATTTAATAAGTAATAATTTTGGTTCACTTTTTTATGGCATAAGCCGGTAAACGAGCAGACAGATCACTTGATGGTAAGCGATCGGCATCGCCCATGGACACCTGGAACACCAGAGGCGTTACAAGTGCGTTTCCGGCCTTCTGGATTAGGAAATTGAGGACTGTTGGGGATTCAAAGATTGGGGAAAGGGAGGGGGGGGGGGTAATTTGGCCTCCGGTAACCTCACTCACACGACGAAACACAACACTCCGTTGTTTCACGTCGGTCTTCTGTGAGGCCGTGGTATCACTCCGGTCAAGCCGGCCCATTCATGTCGAAGCATGGCTCTCCCACACTTAATTATTCAGAAAGTAGATTTTTGTATAGAAATTCACCTTTATGCTTTACCTTCTCTGACCAATTGTTTTGTCTGATACCTACCTCGTCTTTTTGCCATCGACTCTCATGACAGCATATCCATTGCCATCATATGGATGGGTGGCAGAACACAACTGTGCGCTTCTATTATGACCTTCAAACCTTCAAGAAAAGAGCGTAGGTATCCCTTTTTAAAAGGCTGGCAACACACCTGTGACATCTCTGTTGTTGCGAGTGTCCATGGGCGGTGCTCATCGTTTACCATCAGGTGATCTGACAGCTTGTTTGCCTCTTATTCTATAAAAAAAACCAGCTATCAGCTTCAACCAGCGGCTTCGCCCGCGTTTAAAACTTAATTTGCGTAAATGTAATCTATGTATTATTTCAGATCATAATTTACCCCTGTCTCGATCTTTATCTATCTCGATCCCTTCAGCCGTTTTGACATGAAGGAGTAACAAACAAACATATAAAATTTCGCGTTTATAATATTAGTAGGATCAACATTAACACGTTAACCGCCACATAGGTCACCGGTGACCTACGTTAGCGTAGGATTTGCCTTTAACAGTTTTGAGTCGGCAGTCAAAGGCTTAATTAGATGCATGCCTTTGCCAACTGACCGCTCTGGAAATTATTGGACTAATAAATAAATAAATAAAGGAATTTATTTCTCTCAAAAAGGTACATACATAGAAACATAATATCACTATTTAAGTTACATAAGGTTCAACCAACTGTATCATTATTCCTTATTTATATTTTACGGACCGACGTATGGCCACTATCTCGCCTGGTGGTAACCAATGATGTGGTCTACGATGGGGCACGTCGTCACATAAGCAACCTCTTCACACGGGTCTTGAAGACACACCCTTCAAGAAACACAGACTATGGCAAAGAATTACCTACTTTTAAAATCAACTTTTTAACCGACTTCAAAAAAGGAGGAGGTTTTCTATTCGACCGTATATATGCTTTTTTTAAATAAAGCTAGTTGTGCTAAGTGCTAAAACCCAACGAATCACACTTAAACCTCCAATTGACCAGCAACGATACAAAGCCGCAAAATTAGGGCACGACCACACCGCACAGTGACAGAATAAATCGCAAATTTCAATACCGAGCTAATGTGAATCGCTATAAATTGTCACGATTTACCATCGAATTACTGAATGTAGCGCTCTCACCCTATTTACCCGAAATTCCGATTCGCGACGCAAATTATGACGATTACAGTTATTTCGATTGAGCGTTGATATTTTGGTACTGGAAATGCTTAAATTTGAGGGTTAAAGAGTTTAGGATATTAATAAAATTCTAAACTCTTTAACCTTTAATAAAATTTCTAACATCACGCCTTTTGTACACGAAGGGGTAGGCAGATATGTACATTATGGCACTGTACAATGTAATACCCACTTTTCACTATTTATGTTATGAGTCCCATGTAATAGGGGGTGAGCCCATTATATACCGGGCACAATAACAAACTCCGTGCTACTACTGAGAATCGAACCCGAGACCCCATGCCTAGCAGTCGCACTCGGCCAACGAGGCAACTAAAAATTGCGGGTTACCCCTCTGTGGCTCGAAACTAGTAGAGCTTTTCTCAGTATATTCACGTGAGTAACCCGCGATTTTTAATTAATTTCTATGGTGTTTGGAAATAGTTGGGTCATTACGAAATATAACATTGTATGTCTCTTTGGAAAATATGTTTGTGTACCTTTTATCCGTAATCACGT